TCATCCTCCTCAACCAGGCTACTTTCTCAGCCATTTGAACATTGGCAGTGCCCTTTTGCTTACTTATGCCCATAAGCCTGCTCTTCCTGCAGGACAAGGCGTTTTTCTGGCATCGAGCCCGGGAATGGACAGTCACAGGCATCCAGATGATCAGCCTACCTTTGACCAGCTTCTGAATCTACTGACAGGAGTGGGCATTGGCAATTTCATTGGTCTCCTTGGGGTCCAACCGGACCTTCTTTTAGCCACAGCAGAGGACACTGGAGGCAAGCCTCTTTTGAAGCCTGATCATACTCATGGCTGTTGCCACAGCAGCAAAAAGCCACTTTGAACACTTCTTGCCACTCCATTTTGGCCTGCAAAGTTGCTGCTGAGAAATCAGCTGACAGTCTTACAGGTACTTACTTGTAGGCAACTAACTGCTTTCCACTCTCCTGCCCCAAGCAGCTGCTCCTCCTCTCCTGAACCTGCCCATGCTCTGTGGCCATGCTTGTGGCAGGCACCTAGAGGGACAGTGGTGTCTGCTTCAGAGACATGAGCACAGAAGGCAGGCGGGACACGTCTTTGCACTGTTTGCTGCTCTTGGGGTTGAAGTCACACAGCTGGGCCACTTTCTCCTCCTCAGATGCTCTGCAGGTGGAGGCAGAACAGGTCTCAGAGCTGCCTGCCTTTCCCCTGAACTAGTGATGCTCTGCTGCCGCTGAGCAAGCCTGCTTTGCCCAGCCTACTCTGGGGTACTTTAGCCAGAGGTACCCAGCCCTGTGCCCTCTGACTTGGGGTCCCAGAAATAACCTTGGCATAGGAGGAAGCCTGGTTTAGTCCTGCCTTAGGGCCTCTGCACTTGTCTTCTCTTCCAGGAATGCTCTTCCCCAGACCTGCTGCTCATGGCTTATTGTTTCTTGTCATTCAGGACTGAGTGCAGGCCTCGCCTCCTCAGAGAGGTCTTCCCTTGCCACCCTAGCTAAAGTTTCCTCTTGTACCTCCTCCACCCCTGCACTACCCTCACGCTCTCTGGTCATCGCCTCTCCATCAAGAGTTCCCCACCTGGAGCTCCTGGCACCTAATGGCCCGTGGAGGAACTAATGTGGTACCTCAGCCATTACTAACAACATAACTGAAGTCACCTGGTTCAGCATTGCCTCAATGTTCTGTGGACCCTGTGTGTTCCCCAGAAAAGGGTTGTGATCAAACACTCATAAAGAACTCAGTTAAAGGGCATCTTCAAAGCCAGACTTTCAGAAACTTCCATGTGCTAATGTGCATCAGTGGAAAAGTGATGGCGATAGAATCCACCATCTCCCCAGGATGTTTGATGACAGGACTCTTTTGGCCCATGATGACTGTTACATTCTATGGAGCCACAGCCTTAGGATTGCTCTAATGCAGTGGTTCTCAACCTTCTGGCCCCCCAAATACAGTTCCCCATGTTGTGACCCAACCACAAAATCATTTTTTGTTGCCACCTCACAACTGCCATGCCACCACTGCTATAAATCGCAATGCGAACATCTGATATGCAGGACGGTCCCAGGTGACCCCCGGGAAAGGGTCGAGACCCACAGGTTGAGAACCGCTGCTCCAATGAGTCTTTGCTTTTGGTTGCAATCAAACCGACAAAACTAGCTTGCGCTGATGCAGTGGAACCAATTTTAAGGACTGGGGAGGGAATGAAGTCAGTCAGACACAGCCTTCAGGTCCTCCGCAGAGAGGTGCCGATAAAAATCTCAGAACTCTGAGTGCCCAAAGGGCCACGCAGTCGGTCATTCTACGTGTATTCCCCCAGCATCTGCCTTGGGCCAGGCTCAGGATTTCTGGGCAAGGTCCCTGCACTCATGCAGTCTGGTAGGGGATGTCAAGCAGATTAAAAGGCAGTTATGGCTGTAATCGGATTGTTAATAGGAAGTCTGGGGCATTGGGACTACAGGACACTTACACAGCCTGGGAGGAGGAAATAGTGGTAAGAAAGCTTCCTAAAATTGGCACCTGAACTGGGTAAAGAAACAAGGTAAGGGGACAGCCTAGTCAAAGGCCTGAATTTGGGATGCTATGAAGGATAAAAGTTACAAGGCCCAAAACAAAGGCCCTCAGGACCTCGGCTGCAGACTATGTCCTGGAGGCTGTGCTGAAATCTACGCAGGCAGAGTCCAATGGGGAGGGCTTTCTGGGACAGCCTAGCTCCGGCCTAGTGTCCTGATGGTGTGGAATGGATGGGCTGCCTTCAGGAGCCAAGGAGAGGGACATTAAGTGAAAGCCTAGGCTTACTTGTTGGAAAGACTTGACTACAAACCCCCCATTAACACCCCTCAAGCCTGTTCTTATCTGTAAGAGGAAGAGAAAGCTACAGACCTCTGTGGGTTTTCAGTGAGAGGATCTATGTAAAAACACTAAGCTCTTCTTTCCAACAGCAGTGACTTCCCTCCTTGCCATAAATCCAGGCTCCAGTTCTCCGGTCCAGAAAGTCTCAGTCAAGGACAGGCCCTGTTTCCTGAACCCCGGCTGCCTCACTACCCGATCTGTGGCGATGCCATCCGTCTAGCATTCCGGTTAAGACACTCCGGTTAACATTGTAACCGAACTTCTGCCTCCGGGTCTTCCCCTTCCCCTTCCCCTTTGAGCATCCCGCTGACCACCGCACCCGCAACTCAGACTCCGCGCCTTCACTTCCAGCACCTCGTGTCAGACTTTCTTTTTTGACCCCAGGAGTGGGGGTGGCATGTGGAGCAGGAACATGGACAGTGCTGGAAGCCAGAACAGAAGGCTCAGAAACCCTAAATGTCAGAGAAGAAGTGGGGGGAATGAGGTTGAGGACAAAGGGAGGCCTCAGGGAGCCACAGAGATAAGCCAGGCAGGGCATTCCTTAGGCAAACAAGTGAAGCACTGAGTCATTTAATGTGAAACGATAGTTGGAATTACTGAAAGGAGTTTAGAGGGCAAAGCAGAAAATCATTAGCAGAAATTAATCATCCACCGCTTTCAACACTAAAAATTATATTGACCTACACAAACCAAAAAGACCATAGAAGAAGCCAGAAGCACAGCTCTGGGGCCTGAGGGCTCCTGAAAGGGGCTGCTGTCCTGGCAGGCAGCCTAGAGCTATGGCCGGGAAGAAATAGTATCACAGATCTTTGTGTAGCTGAGAGAGGGGAAGAGAAGTTCAGTTCTAATAGAGGCCCCGGGCCCCTTTGTGGAGGACGCAGGTGATGAGCTCAGCTCCTGGCAAGGAGAGCTGTTTGGTTTGGCCCCAGATGCCCCCTGCAGAACCCTGTGGGCAGGGAAAAGGCACGCACTGTGCAGTTTGTCGGACAGGCTGACAGTGCCAGAGGGGCCATCATCCCAGGCACTGGACACAATAGGACAACACTGTCTCCATGTGGAACAGAGCCCAAGGCTGGCCTGTGCCCTTCGGTGCACCCAACCTCGGGGTTTTGAACTCTAGCTGTTCCGTTAGGTGTCTAGGCAGTGTCCCCACAACATGGAACTGTCTGATAAACCCGTTTTCTCTCCCAGGGGTTGGGGAGGGATGTGGTGGGAGCTGCTTGGGGTTCTGGCTGTCTTTCTGGACATGGTGCTGTTGGGCTCACGACTGGCATGAGGGGGAGAGGAGTGAGGTGCCTAGGATGCAGAACGGGGGGTGGCACTGGTCTCAGCATCTTTGAGGACATGCACGGTTGGCGCCTCCTTACATCTGGCTCTGGTTGGAGTCAGTACTCTTGCTCCACATTTGGTGTAACTGAGGCAGTCTGGAGCCCATGTTCCCGTCTGGTGTCTAGAGAAGCTGTGGAAATCTGGGCATCATCAGGGTGGGAGGGAATTGTTTTGTTCTCTGCCACTTCCAGACTCCTAGGAAGCCGTGGATACCATTGAAGAAGGGGCTGTTAGGGACCCACTGCTATGGGCGCTTCTCTGGGCAGAAAGAAGTGAGAAATAGGAAGACAGCTTTAACCAGTGTGAGCTGAAGGGAACCCCAAAAGGACATTTATTAACATTAAAAAGTAACTTCTCTATTCTTTTCTTATTAGAAAAATAAATGCATGTCCATTAGCTAGAGTTAAAAAATGAAAAGCACCAGTAATTTCAACTCCCAGAGTGACCCATTATTTCCATGTTAGTCAGATTTTCATCTTTTCTCACATTTCCCTAGTAACAATGATGATGAAGACGGGTCTGATGACCATAACAGCAAACATATGATGAGAGCTTATTTCTCCATGTCTAACCCTTTGGATTGTAATTCAAGAGGTAATAACATTCAAGATTCTATTGAGACTTTATTTACAACTTTAATGGGAAATGTTTCATGGATAGCCTTTAGGCATATTTATATTGGTAAGGCCAGGGAAAACCTGTCTATGTTGTTGCCTGTAACAGCATCTGATCTTATAAAAAACTGATCAACCCAATGAGAATATATGGGCACTACCTGCAATTCTCCCTCCCTTCCTTCTCTCTCTCTCTCTCTCTCTCTCTCTCTCAGGTTCGATCCCCAGTCCTGGTCAGGGTGCATGCAGGAGGCAACCATTAGATGTGTCTTTCTCACATGGATGTTTCTCTCTGCCCCCACCCGCCCTGCTCTCTCCCTCCGCCCTCCCACTCACTCTAAAAATCAATGGGAAAAAAATATCCTCAGGTGAGGATTAACAAAAAATAAAACAACAAAACAAAACAAACAAAAAGAAGAAGGAGGAGGAGGAGGAGGAGGAGGAGGAGGAGGAGGAGGAGGAGGAGGAGGAGAGGAAAAGTAAGGCCCAAACACAGACCTTTCACCCTGGTGGGGTTGGTAGGAGCTGCATGGCAGTCTAGGTAAAAGGACAGCCAGGTACTGGAGAAGTCTGGGAGCGAGAGCCAGGCGGACACCATTCATTCAGTCACTCACAGGCTCCTTGCCCTGCACCAAGCTGTAGCAGCAGCACAGTGACTGCTAACTGAGTACTACTCCGTGAACCGCGAAACATCAGACAATAACTCCGGTCATTATCAGTAGGAGTTTTTAGCTGCCAGGAATGTCCAGGGAGGTGAAGGTGAAGCAGAGGATGATCTGGATTGAAGAATCAACCCAGACAGTGAGTGTGAGCCCTAGAGGAGATGGTGATGAGTAGAGAGTGGGCATGGTGGAAAGAGATGTATTGTCACAGTGGACAGTTCATTTTAGATGTTGAGATAAATCCATGCTGACTTCCCACTTTAGGTTGTCCTGTCTAATGGCTAATTACTGCTTAACCTTTGGTGCCTGACCCCTTGAGTTTGAACCACAACTTGGCTCTTTACCTGCTGTATTAGTTTGCTAGAGCTGCCATAACAGAATACCACACACTGGGTGGTTTAACAACAAAAATCTATTTTTTCACGGTTCTGGAGGCTGGAAGTCCAAGATCAAGGTGTCGGCTGATTTGACGTCTCCTGAGGCCTCTCTCCTTGGCTTGCAGATGGCCACCTTCGCCCTGTGTCCTCACATGGTCTTTCTTCCGTGTGCATAAATTCTCAGTGCCTCTTTTTGTGTCCAGATCTCCTCTTCTCATAATGACACCATCAGATTGCATTAGGACCCACTCTACTGGCTTCATTTTCACTCAATCACCTCGTTCAAAGCCCTGTCTCCAAATACAGTTGTATTCTGAGGTACTGGGAGTTAGGGATTCAACATATAAATTTGGGGTGGGGCACAATTTAGCCCATAACACCTGCTGTCCAGTATTGGCAAATTACTTTCTCCAAGATTTAGCTTCTGTGCAACTGGAGAGATGTTAATAAGTAACAGGTATTAGATGCTTCCTATGTTTTAAATACTTTACATTATTATCTTACTTAATCCTCCCAATAGCCAAAAAAGTTGGTATTATTATAATATCAAATAAAAACACAAGATGCCCGGTTAAATTTGAGTATCATGTAAACAATGAATACTTTTTTGTTTTTAGTGTTGTCCCATGTAATATTTGAGGCATACTTACACTAAAAATTATTCATTGTTCATCTGAAATTCAAATTTAGTCACGTGTCCTGTAATTTATCTGACAACGGTATCCCCTGCAACCAGAAGAGTCAGAAGGGTCAGGACGGCGCCCGTGGGCGAATGCCGGATTGTCTCTTCTCCTCTCCTCTGTGGAATCTCTCCTCTCTCCTGTGGCACCGAGCTGTAGGTCCTGAGAAGCCAGCCTTGACCCGAGTGGCTCCTGATTTTGGAAGGAATTTACTTTCTCCCACTCTCTGTAGCTTCTTTTCCTCTGTCACAGGTGGTGTTGGCTTGAATAAGCTTTTCCTTGCATGTCAATGATAAGACCAGAGGCTCGAATAGGAGTGTGGGGAAAGATGGCCAAGGGTCCGCTTTAGTTCAATGCTACTGAGATCTCCCTAGTACAGGAAAAAAAGACTCATCCAATAACCTCTCTTTGTCCATCTAAGTCCTTCCTTCAGGTTTGAACTCCATCTTCAGGTAAGAGTAAAGTGCTCTTGGCCTTGCTTTGCTTTTCCTCATGTGGAGGCTCAGCTCTCCCTTGGGGACTTTGAGGGAAGGATTAAGAAAAATTATTCAAAACTTGGAAATAAGCAAAAAGACTGCTGCATGACCTTTCAATGCCGTCTAAGGCCGTGTTACTTAAAGGGTGGGTTGCTGACCATCAGTGTCACCTGAGAACTTGTTAAAATGCAAATTTTCAGACTCAGCCCAAGACCTCAATTTCTGGGGGCAGGGCCCAGCCCTCTGTATTTTCATAAAGTCTGAGAAGCATAATGGTCCTCTCCCTCTCTGGGGAAAGGCAACATAGTTCGTACCATGAAGTTGGGCTCAGATCTTTGACACTACCAGTAGGATGGCGATGATTTCATTTCCTGTCCAGCGGAGAAGACAGCCCCACAGAGCGTGGTTTTACCGCTCTCTTGGAGACTGACCAGTTTGTATCTGAATCTGCAGCCTCGCCTCAGCACCCCTTTTCTTTCTGCACTGACTGCAAAGTCCTATTTTCTCATTTGATCCAGCACAGGCACCCTCCTCGTTCCTTCCTTCATGAATTGAATAACACTGTGACATGTGCTTACTTACCTCTCTATATGAAAATTAGGTTTTTAATATTTTGAGAACTATACTCTGACAGGAGGATAATTGAGGGAAGGCAGGACTCATCTCTTCTTCAGACTCCTGGCCAACTACTGTCATAACCCTCTCTGTCTCAATCAGAGGCTATCGGCTACAAACAACAGAAGCCAACTCAAATGAGCACAAATGAGAGGGAATTTATTGGAAGCCGATAGGCATCTCAAGGGACTCCTTTGTAGGAAGAATAGGCACCCGAGGGAGTGGAAAACTGTCAGGTAGTCTCTATATTCTCTCTCTCCAAATGCTCTCTGGCCCCTGGTTTTCTCCAGATAATGAGGATTACTCTCTGGCTTCTTTATAGACTAGTTCTCCTGTTTACTTTGCAGCATGAATGTGGCTTAAAATGGATCTGCATGATCTTCCAGCCCAGGAATCTAATTTGTGCCTGACAAACCCATAAATCAGCTGGAGTTGGGTCACATACCCACCTAGCTTGGGAAGGGGAAAGAACCACACCGTCAGCTTGCCCATTCACCAGAAACGGAAGTCAGAGCGGCTATTCTGAGAAGCACCACTGGGCAGGGGTGGCAAACTCATCTCTGATCTCTACCTCTAATTGGACTGTTTGGAGATTAAGGACAGAATATGATGAAAGAGGCTTTCTTCCCAGGCTTCCTGCCTTGGACCCGAGAATTCTCTTGGGACCAATTTGGCTCCACCAATCTCTTAGGCCTGACAAATAGGAAAGCAACCTCTGGAATTCTGAAGTGCGCAGGGTGCAAGCTGAAGAGAGGCGAATTTTCAGTTAAAACTCTGAAATGCTGCACAGTCAGTGTAGCTCAGTGGTTGAGCATTAACCCATGAACCAAGAGGTCGCTGGTTCGATTCCTGGTGCAGCCAATCAATGATTTTCTCTCATCATTAATGTTTCTATCTCTCTATCCCTCTCCCTTCTTCTTTCTCTAAAAATCAATAAAAACATTTAAAAATCTCATAAAAAACAACAACAAAAAACCCCACTCTGAAATGAAACCTAATAAAAATCTCATAGTTAGTCAATTGATCTTTGAAATAATTATGTTATACTGGCATGCGTGTTCAGCCAAGCTTTTAAGTTAGAATAACACTAGCTGTTGTAACAAATAAATCCCTAAATTTCATTGGCGTAGCAAATAGAAGTTTATTTTCCACCCGCCGCTATATAAGTATAAAGCAGGTATTTCTGGTAAGTGGGTAGGAATTCTTCAATTTGTTTAGGTCTTTAAAATTTTTTGTTCTTTATTAGATTTATAGGTACTGAATGACTTTGATGATATCTTTTTAAAAATCCCTAAGGACTCTGTTTAACTTTTCACCTCATAGTTGTTGCTTTGCCTGTAGTGTAATTTGAGAATCAGCATTAGAAAATCTCATTAGAAAATCCACACAGACAGAACATTGGGTCCACTTATCTGTAGTTTCCTTTCCTTAAGACTCTGAAGACTTTAGGCACTGATTTATTGGTACCTAAAACTCCGACTTTTATTTCTGTCGCTCCACGAAACTACCAAGAGCTCTGAGAGGTTACTTTCTGCTTGTCCCCTGCCCCTACTTTATTTACAAATCAGAAGGAAAGAAGGTGAGGCTCATGGAAATGCCCTTCTCTTCTCTCTGGGGTCTTGGCCTATCAACTTTGGGCGGCCTTGATTGATTGATGCAATCTTTAAGCAGCTGTTTTGTAATAGTTTATTAAGCATTTATAGTTGTTCCTAGGTGGGGAGTTTGATAAAGGATACTCCATCAGAATTGGAAGTGGAAGTCCTCTCTAATCCATTATACTAAGATTAATATTTTTTTATTTGTATAATTGCAGGTTCAAAGCCATCATGAGAGAGACATTTTTGATGTATGCTTCCAGCATGACAACTTCACATAGGATGTAATAAAACAGCATGTGCAACAGGATCCTCTTTGTTTTGTCGGGGTGTAACGACTGCACAGAGTTTCATGCTACTTAGAAAATGGCGGAGATGACTTTTCATCAGAACATTTCCTAAATCACTTTGGGGAATACAAAGTGCAGTTTTAACAGGTGCTCTGTAGAAAAATATTTTTTTTTTGGTTCAGTTACTTTGGGAAGTGATAGTTAAACAAAATTGTTTATTTCACAATGTCCCTGGGTCTGATAGTTAAACAAAATTGTTTATTTCACAATGTCCCGGAGTCTGGGGTATGTTATGTGCTTTGCAAGTCTCCAAGAGGGAGTACTAGGATGCCAAATTTCCTAACTATATTTGATCAAAGAACTCTGTGGGGAGCAATTCATGGTGAAACTATTATTTCACGTAATATAGTTTGGGAGACACTGGTTTAAGAGGAATGAAAGCTAAGTTAGATTATGTCTGGCCCTGACTCTGACATCTATTAGCTGCATGATCTATTATATGACATTGCATCTCTGATCATTAATTTCCTCATTTGTAAAATAAAGAGGCTTCACTGCAGAAAGCTAAAGTCTAGGCCCGTGGTTGGCAAACTGCGGCTCGTGAGCCATATGCGGCTCTTAGGCCCCTTGAGTGTGGCTCTTCCACAAAATACCACGTGCAGGCATGCACGTAACAGGGCAAATTGAAACTTCGTGGCCCATGCGCATAAGTTGGTATTTTGTGGAAGAGCCGGTATGTTGTGGAAGAGCCACACTCAAAGAGCCGCCTGTGGCTCGCGAGCTGCGGTTTGCCGAGCCGCAGTTTGCCGACCACTGGTCTAGGCTTTTCTCTTCGACGACATTGCCAAGCATATTGCCAGTATCACACAATAGTCTTCCCAGTCCCAACTGTCATAAGGGCCTATTCCTTTCTATTTAGTGATAAAGCCCTAGCGTGGTGGTTTAAATATTGAAATGAGTATACTATCTTTGACTCTGAGTCAAATTACTAAACTAAAAAGACAATGTCAGACACTCTCACCTCTTAAGGTATACAATACAGTAACCTGTAGAAGCATGGGGAGGACATGGGTTAACTTACTGAAAAAACCAGGAGGGTTTATGAC